AAACAGAAAACTGCTTACAATGCATCATGTCACCCACCCTCTCCCAAATGTGTCACGTAAGGAAGGAGGAAGAGACCTCTCAAAAATTGAAGCCTCCTGGCACAATGCAATAATTGGGATGGGAAAATAGTAGTCGATCATCAAGACGACCCACTAATGCGGCAGGTCATTAAATCTTACTGAAGAATAAGAAACAGAGAAATTGCAACAGTAGCATAAAGTAAATATGGTAAATTAAAGATGTCTGACATCAAAAATATATTTTGCTTAAGATCGTTTGAATCGTGTAGTGATAATCCTCAGTGCTTGCAGCTCCCGGGCCGAAAACAAAGTTCTGACCTGCGATCTAATTAAAGTAGCAAGGAGATTTGCGAACACCACTATGCAAGATACGAATAATAACAGAGACACTGAACGCCTGTTGCTACTAAACAAAAAATATTAATGAAATATGGAGAGACAATCCATTCCATGGGCAGTATCTAAAAAACAACGGCCAGATCAATAAAAATCAATCATTTATATGGCTTATATGGGAAGAATAAAGCAAGAGTTGGATTGAACAAATATAATTCATTGATCATATCGTCTCAGCTTATCGAGTTCTAGCAAATACCGAATACTTGAAAATATACGACAGATCTTTTACCTCCACTGTCAGATCTATACCGCCCTCGAAGATCCAAACATATGCTCCAAGTGGTGCGAACACTTACCAAAACTGGTCGTCTGTTGGACTGCATTCAATACTCTACGATCAACAAATTCAAATGGATCGCATGATATCGGCAAACAAACCTGGTTTTTGTTATCCGGGATTAGAGAAAAAAATTGTAGATGTGGCTGTTCCGTCCGGTCAAAACGCTGAAACTAAGGAGACAGAGAAATGTATCAAATAGAAGAGTTTGGAAATCGCGATCAGCCGAAGGTGGGGTGAAAACGCACAGGCTGTCCCGACAGTCACCGGAGCTTTCGGATTTGATCCACAAAAGTTGTGTATGAACTGGGCTTCACTCCCAGGTCATTCAAAAGATGGGTAAGTGCAAGACATTGCTTAATTGGGAACAGCCCACATTTTGCGCAAAATATTGTAGAGGCACCGATAGTCCCTAGATCTGTTCCTTAGGATGCTCGTTGCAACCCGGAGACTTTATAATCAACTGACTCATAATATCTTTAGTCATTAGCCGAATCAGAGGTTGGATAATAATAATAAGAAGAAGAACAAGAAGAAGAAGAAGAAAAAGAAGAAGTTGGCCCCGCGGTGCAGCCGTCGTCTGCGCCGAGGAGGCTGCAAGTTCGAGTCCTCCGTAGACATGGTCGTATTTGTGATTGTCCATTCACCCCATCATCCTATCATCTCATAATTAACACTGCAAGGAGTAACAACCTTGTTATAATAAGGGATAGAGCTGAAAAGCAGATCCTGGGGGAATTACACACGTTAATCGTGCAGCGTAGTCAGTAATGGCCTATACGCCAATATTAATAATAATAATAATAATAATAATAATAATACATAAGGACGTTATTTGCTGTTTCATTAAAGTTACGAAACTTGAAAAAATATGACATGTTACAGAAAAGATATACACACACAGTTTCATATCCTTCATTCGGAATTCTTAGGATTCATTAATAAGCAGAATCTCGTATTTATGAAAAGAGCAATTATTCAGACCCACTTGCTAACATCACAGGAGATCAGCGACATCAAACAAGAAATAGCACAAAAGCTCTTTACTAATATTACTAGACTAGACTTTACCAATATAAGAACGGAATCAGAACAAAGAAGTTAAAGAAATAGGTGGAAGAAATGATGAAGTTCCAAAATTGGAACAGCTATCGCCCACTTACTTAACAAATTCTTCACAGACACACCCAGCAAATAGCAGTTTACGCCAAGAGACTCCGACTCCAAATCTACCCTACGTAAAAGCTTTATGCGTAATTTGAAAACCAGAAGCCATGCGACAGAAAATTGAAAAGCTCCGTTGCAAGTTGCACAGTACCCGATGAACAATTAATCACAGATTTCTGGTCTGCCGTATGGGAAGAGCCAAAACAACATGACTCCGATAGTGTAACATTGACGGACGAAAAACGAAGAATGAGGATAATTGAACACATGACACCGCTTTGCATCAATGAAGCAAATGTAAAAGCCATTATAATGAAAACATCAAATTGAAAAGGCCGTGGCCCGTATCAAACCCAAAATTTTGCGTTTAAGCAACTTTATGAATATATAAACATTTAGCCACCTTGTCTGGAGATATATAAATTGGTACATATGAAACGAGGCAAAGTTTTTGCATCTGAAGGATATTATGTCACGCCTGATGGAATGATTGAAGATCTGAAAAGAACTGCTAGTTACACATATCTAAGAATTACCCAGCTACGAGGAATTGATCACATTGGTATTAAGCGAAAAGTGAAAGAAAAGTTTCTTCAAAGAATCAAAAGCATCCTCAACACACAGCTCTACAGCAGAAAGAAAGTATAGGCGAGTAACGCATATGCAATACCACTACTTACTCATTTGGATTAGTTAAATGGTGAGCGACAGACTTGCAAGATCTATAAAGGCTACAGAACACAACTGACAAAAGAATGAAAATCCAAAATCAGCAATAAAACGGGTGACAGCAATAGAATGGGTGGTATGGGAATCACCGACATACCGCGACTCCATAGCAAACAAATTAACGACCTCAGATCGTACTTTTACGAGAATAGAAAGTTTGATGCCATTTGCAAAGCCAATAACAAGTCAACTTCACTATATCTATCAGACGCTGTCACTTTTACTTCAAAAATTACATCAATAGAAGACCAGAAAAAGAACGGGAAGCAAAAAGAATTGTGTGGCACATTTCCGAATCAATTATAGAAAGATAATATAGATAACGAAGCAACTAGCCTCTGGCTCAAAAATAGAAAACTCTTTGACAAAACAACTGGATTCATGATGGCGATTCAAGATAGAGTAATAGCTACTAGAAATTATCGGAAATACATAATCAAGGGAGCAATTTCTAATGCCGAAACTGTCATGTAACGGAAGAAACAATAGAACACATAACAGGATCCTGCCGTACACTAGCAAACACAGAATATACCAAAAGACACAATAGTGTAGCAAAAATCATTCATAAACATTTGGCTTGAACATTACCTTCTTTAGATATGTAGTTATCTCGGGAGGGCCTTGAAGGCTAGGCGCCAATAGCTGACAGGACATAATCATATTTCAATTTTACCATTAGGGGACCAAAAATTGAATAAAGGATGATACACTATGTTTTAGATGCCTATGTTTGGAATTGAGAAGATGATAGAACAAAACTGAAAATATAGTCCAGTCTAAAAAGACAAGGCGAAAAACAAGTACGGGAAAGTCTTTGCCATTCGGTAGCACCTCTGGTTACTATTGATATTTCTTTGTTTGAAACATGTGAGTCAGCAACACGAAGTTTTGGACAGAAGGACTTTTTCCAAAAATAGTACTGCGAAGTTCCCTGCCACTATATTCTTTTAAACGTCATCTGTTTATTATAATACGAAATTTCAATTTCAAAGTTGATGATTTCTCTTATTTATGACATATATTGTATATCAGTGCTCATCAACATTCTGCATGGGGAGCAAAGAGCACTTTTATTTCCTCCGTAGCAATAGGCTAAAGCGAAGGGAAGAATGATGACGTTCAATATCCGATTTACACACAGTGACACTTCAACGTCATGTGCTGATAGGAGAGGGGCGACACTAACTTGAAATCGGGTACTTCGTTTAAACTTAAACTTTTGGCACTGGAGCTCCCGGTTGATGACAATATCACCATCTCCTTCCTGCTCGTGACCTTTAAGAGCCTTTATGTTTAAACCGGAGTGTAAGATAGGGAGAATGAAGGTGGGTGAAATGAACTGCATTCGGTCATTTATCAAAGACACTTTTTCGAATCGATGCATTTTGGATCCAAAAATACTAATATTAGAATTAAATCTAAGTAAATTGGAACCTAATGAAATTTGCCTCGTTGGTTTCAAAAGAAATACAGGAGTAAATATCATACATACGACAAATTTTAAAAGAGAGTTCACCTAATACTGGAAAATAATGTTATACCCCATATTTCTGAATGTGTTAGAGATTAGACAAAGTGGTAGGTAGGAGGAAAAAGAGGTCTGAAGAGAACCACTCAGACCGCAGCGTCTTGTGGCTTCGCCAAAGGCACCAGTCTCTTTCATTACTTTATTTTAATAACAACAACTCAGTGAATTTAAATGATAAATGGGCTGATTCATATTGATTGTTTGGACGTAAAAAGGCACTTCATAATTTTTATGTGACATTTCCAAAAAAAAGAACTTGTTAAAATATCATATAAATGAGCCGTTTCATTTTATTTTAATTTAGGCATGACGCCAAGCGACTGGAATGGACCGAAGTAGAAAACGACCAACATATTCATTAAAATTTACAACTTTAGATATCTCTTTACTTCCTGCGTTTGTATCTTGTTATATTACTTATTGCTATGGCAATACTTGCAGTGAAAATAATAATCATGAAATGGGCCTTGGATTATCAAGCAAAATGAAATGACCGTTTGTTTCTAGTGCATCTCAGCCTGAAACCTCACCTTACAGAACCGGATCTGTTTCACATGCAACTTTCGTCATATATCAACTGCATTTCTCGTGGCTTGTTCCTGATTTTGTGGTGTTTCTTTGACGGACGTTTTTTGTCGCCTGTCGCCTCCCGCCCCAACCCGCCTGCACAGGAGTGTTAACGTGCCATTACCTGTCGATCTCGGGGCCTCGCTACCGGCGTGTGAAGTGCCGCGTCACGGATTGTTTTTACGCGTGCTCGCTAAATCGCGCGGAATAAAAAAGCAAAAATTACGAGTTGCGCGGCGGCGACCTCGACCTACCGCGAACGACCCCCTCCTGATGAGCTTCGACTCCGCGTCCTCCAGCGGGTGACTATAAGAGGCGGCGCCGGCGGAAGCGTAGATACTCCGCTCCCCCAAGCGCTTCGTAGTTCGTCCGCTCCTCCACTCCTCTCGCGACATGAAGGCTGCCGTCGCCCTGTGCCTGGCCCTGGTGGTGGCCCTGGTGGGCGCTGCGCCCGCCGACAAGTACTCGTCGCGCTTCGACCACGTGGACGTGGACGCCATCCTCCACAACGACCGCCTGCTCGACAACTACATCAAATGCCTGGAAAACACCGACGACAAGGGCTGCACGCAGGAGGGGAAGGCACTGAAGGGTAAACATCGCTCGCGTGCCCTTTAAGGTTATAACTATAACCTGGGATATTTAGCGCTAGTCCCAGATTTGACCTGGTCGGCGTTTTGCTGGAAGAGACCAACACTGAAAATTATAAAAAATCATAAAATAGGTCATTCGGTTTCTCTGGTTATGATTCTGTAAAATGCAGAAAAGATCGAACAACCATTTGAGAACTATTACAACCTATGAACATTTAACGTTTTATTACCTTTAGAGAAGAAACGTAAAGATATTGTTTTCTCCAAAATAGTGCAACGTGAGTAAGTCTCTTCCTTCGTAACACCGTCCGTGTAGATGTCCATTTGATTGTTATTCACTCTCTGGGTTTGATCGTAATTTAAGTTACTTAAGTTTCTCTTAATTGGGGATCTCTTGTCTTTTGGATTTCATTTGTTCTTATTCTCAAACCGATTTTACTTTTTTTATGTTTTTACTTATTTATATGTTCTACTTAAAGCATATTGGTTATATCTTTTAGGAGCAAATTTTATTTTTCGGAAACTTTACATCCCGTTCATTTAGAGTCAATGTGGGGACACTACAAACACACTTAGAAATGGTTACAACAAAACGAATTTCTGTTTTGTGAAGACTCTAAGGAGTTAACTTGTTTTTCTTTACCCAACTTTTGTAGTGATACCCAGGCACGTTATAAATTTCACGGGCTTTTTCCAAACCACTTCTTTTAAGTAGAGAACTTCAATCACTATTGCCATGTCTACAGCAGATCGTGATCTTAAAGGTACATTTTTCGACGTGACTCTGCAATACTGTCAAATACATATTTAAAAAAAAAATCAAGCCCATTTACGATTTACAATAATAAACATGCGAAGTAAGAAGTAGAGACGGGGAAGGAGGGGGGGTAATGGCGGAATTCCTTTGATAGAGCCGATAAGATTTCAACAAAAAAGTGAAGTAAAATAAAATTCCCCAAATCAATATCTTTTTTATTAATAATAACCAATATTCATATATAAAAACTTTATTCTACAATTGAGCATATATTGTCCGGCAGAATGTAGCAACATGAAAGAACAATTACAATTACAAATTCAAAAAACTATATATATATATATATATATATATATATATATATATATATATATATATATATATATAGTTGTCACTACTTACAACATGGAGATGACATATACATACATAATACTTCAAGTCCAAATACACTTATACTACATTCATGCATCATACATACATACATTCATACACGCGTACAAAGATACGTAGAACCCTAATTTCATATTTAAGGTCTTAAATAATTTTATTTAGCCTTCCCAGAATTTCCCTCCACGCAGAGCAATCAGTGTAAGATTTATTCAGTGCTGAAAGTCGTGCCCTTTTGTGTTCTCGGTGTTCTAATGATTCCCAATGCGCAGGTATGCTCCTCCAAAATGTCTGTTTCCGCTCTGTGTTGTATCTTCTCTAAGCTCTTTGTAAGTCCTATTCTCTACGGATCCCCACAACTAGCTCTGTATTCCGTTACTCGTCTAACAAGCGCAGTATACGCGATTTATTTTGCTTTCGTGTTGCATTTTTTATAATTTCTCATAACGAAATGCAAATACCCCCTAGCTTTACCCACTACATAGTTCGTTTCCATGTCTCACCCCAACGTGCTGTTCAGTAAGATGCCAAGGTATTTACAGTTCTAGACTCGCAAACTACATCATTACCTAGCTGATATTGTATTGTATGAAGAGCTCTGGCCCTACAAAATGTGCTCGCTTTACTTTTCTTTCCCTTTATAGTCATTTTATTAGCTCGTGTCCAATTATAAATTTTATTTAAATCGTTCTGTTGTTGAATCATATCGTCCTGTTCAGCAATTTTTCTATATAATATTCAATAGTCAATGAAGAATCGAATTTTTGACGTTATATTTCACGATAAATCATTTACAAAGATAAGAAAGAGCAATGGGCCTATGACACTGCCCTGAAGGAACCCGGAAGTAAGATGAATTCTGTCCAATTCGGACTTTTTGATTTCTATCGCTAAGAAATTCACTTATCTATGCTATTACCCGTCTGTTAATTTTATCATCGATGAGTGACAGTATCAGTAAGCCAACAGAAAATTAAATTAATTAAATTGAATGACCTCTATAAAATAATAAAGTGGTTAAAATGTGGTGGGACGATGTGGTGATCTGCAATTAATTTTCAAGCAACTGAAAATGGGCACATGAAGAACTTTGTTTTTCATTGTTTTTACTAATGGCCAGCACACAAAGTGAACAGCATTGATAAAATAGCAACACATGGAAATGGAAGACTTGAACTTGAGTATAAATTTGGACTGGAGTATAAGCAGCTTTTACTTCCCTAGATATTCGATTGGCAAGTGCTGCGTTCAGAGCTGTCGGGTGGGGGACTTACATTAGGACATAGGCCAGAGTTTGGGTATTAGATTGTTCTTAAATCTAAAAAATTAATATTTTAAACTATTTTCAATTTCCTAGGAATTGATTTTCTCCTGTTAATTGCTTTTTTTTATTTCTGATTTAATTTCTATGTCTTTAAGTTTACTGTATTCCAAATAAACAAAAATTTTGGAATAGTGAGGCAGGGTAGTATAATGTGAACATTAGCCGGTCTAGATTTCAGTTGTTTATCATTTGGGCTATACACTTTAGATATCGATACATCTCCTACTGTAATGCAGCTAAAAAGTGGGGAGTTTGCCTTGAAAGCAGGTTTTCTTAATATTTACTCAGCGATGTGTTTTGTTACTTTCTTTATAGCGATAGGAGTTTACCTTCTCCTTAAGTGAAAACGATACAAATAAGGCCGAAAGTATTTTAAGAGAAAATAAGCAATCTCTTTGAAGTGATGTGTTCACATGCGATTTTCAAAGGCAAAGCCTTATACTTCGTAGAAATTTCGAATTTATTGTAACACATGCTAAGTGGAAAAAAAGGAATTTTCTCTCGCTTTACTTTTGAACCAGAAGCCCTGATAAAGGTTTGTCTTTCGTCATTCATTAAGATAAAATTTTAGAACATCTTGAATAATTTCCAATTTCATGAAGTTTCATGCTAAAGGAAATTAGATTGCTTCCTGAAATTTGTTATTGAGATACCTCCTAAAGCTAGGAAATGTAAAACTAGGAACTAGGAAGCTAAGATCTCGTAGTGGTGACATTTGTTTGCCTTCCTGAGGCATAATGTGTAAAGTCTGCTTACCTACATTGCGCTAGCGTTGGAGGAACCTTGTGTTATTCGTCATTCTCCGTGTCATGCTCTCCTCTTTGCAAACGATCGTGACTACTTGCCTTTTTAAGGAAGGACTCGCTCCTGCTTGAGTCAGTGTTCCCTCAGCCTCGAGATAAACGCGAAGTCATTTCCTGTTTAGTAAATTGCGTAAACGTAATAGTCGTTTCAAATCGTAAACACTATTTATTTCCTTTTTTACATGAAGACAAGAATTGTCAGACATTATTCCACTTATCATTTGTCATCTATTTTTCTACTGATCTAACTTCTGTAATTTGATCTGCAAGCTGTTTTTTGCATTTCAATGTACAAGAAAAGTACATATTACTGTCTGTATTTTAAAATGCATATACAATTCTTGTAATACTTGTAGGCTATATATTTAAGGTTAATGTGTCTATACTGTTTCATAAAGAACTATGTGTTGAAATTTTTTACAAATCAATGGCTAAAATATTTCAAGAACTGGTCAACAAAGTATATTTTCCGAAAATATATTTTCGTGTACTACACACTAAATAAAAAAAAGTTGAGCGTGTAGAAAGTGCAAATTTTTTTTTAAACTCTCCTGCGTTTCACATAGTTGGAGGGGGGCGCGTAAACTGCTCTGGTCATTGGTCTCGTGAGTGAAGAGAGTATTATATCACCAGATTCAACGGTGTCCTTCACCCCTATCGATGGTGAGTTCACGTCAGTATACGGGGTTTTCCCCAGCCAGATATCCCCCCAGCAGGGACAATCTCTATACTCCCAACTGGTCACCTGATATATATGGCAGTATAGATAGGGCATGTGTGTGAAAGTGGTTTTGAGTAAAGGGAGAAGATAAGTCAAGGAAGAGGAAGGAAAGATCGCGCGTGATCCATGGCTTGATTATTAGGTACTGCTCCGGCATTCACCTAAACATTTGGAGCCCTATGGACTTTTTACATTTGTGGAAATCAGTACATTGTACTAATCCTTCTCTACTACTCAACAAATTGTCAAGGCAAACGGATGCCATTTAATTATGTGCTTCGGTTCAATTATTAATTTTCTTTAGTTTTTTAAATTGTTTGGTACACTTCATTACTTTAGACTGACTTCATTTAAATTATTATATTACCAGGTTAATAGTCAAATATCTTCATTTACAACGATTCGGGGCACATTGTAGCTCCTTCATCAGGTATATACTGTAAAAAAGGCACTTAAAAAGGATAGACATTACAATTTTGGATTTTTTAAATTTACAGTAATAAATAACAAATGTGATAAAATGAATTACTTTGAATGACAACTTATAATAGAGGGCACAAACTTACAATTTATTAATATGATTAAGATTCCATCACACAACACACATCCACAATGAAAATGTTTACATTAAACTGTTCGTCATAATAACAGTGATTAAGTACGGTCTTGTAGGAAGAGAAATGGTGAGGAACTAAAGAGGAAATTTTTTTCATACTTGAAAAACTATTCTTTAATTAAGATGAACTCGAACTAAAGATTAATTATTTAATTTCTAATAAATGTAGAGAAACAGAAGGAAATCATTTGAAGTTTTCTAAGAAAAACTGTTGAGGCCTATTTTTAGACGGTCTACAGCGTGAGGGGCAAGAGCGAAGGGACACGTAACTCCTAATTACTTTTTGACTAGTTAGGGAATAAAATTGAATTTCTTAGAATGCCTAACGAGTCGACGATTTTTAGTAGTTCTTGGTATTGTGACCTTCAAAGGAGTTGTGCCTTAAATACTAGTTACATTCACTTTTAATCGTCAAGCTAATTTCATTTTGTCTCGTTTTCGTAATTGAGGCCGAGGACAATAGGTAAAGCGCTTGTATTGTGTTACAGTAGCTGCATCTGAATGATCTTGATGTGTTCATCCTGAAGTAGCTCTTAATATAAATTTCATTATATAATATTCTGATATTTATCCATTCTTTTAAAATTTAAGTAGTTTCGTGAATGGTTCGATTCGTAATATTGGTATCGATTATGAAAATAGAATAATTTTCATTTAAAGCTTTTATAAGAACAGGTTACGCGACAAATCAAAACGTTATTGTTGTAACCTTGATCTACGCATTGTAGGGAATTGGGCGCAAGGAAAGAGCAGATTTATCTAGCAATAAAAATATCTTTCTTACTTAACATACGATAAATGGATTTCTCATATAACCTCGTATGTTTCGAAGCATCATAAAAATTGACATTTTCTCTCGGTGTAGTAGCGGGCACTTTCCTTGATTATTTCACATTATTAATACGGATATGCAGAGTTTAAGATACAATTACAATATATTTATTTTACCAGAGTTCCTATTTTCTTCCTTCAACTACCCCCCTCGATTTTTGTTGTTGTCGATGTTTTGAACGTTACCTCCCAACACTCCGGTGGGAGTCTTTGGTGACTTTGGTTACATGGGGGAAAGTTCTGTGTTAGATAAATATTTAAATCTTTGGATTGTTTCATTTTTCATATTGTGTTCCTCGTGTGGCAGATGTGTTGGCTGAAGCCATCGCGACGGACTGCGCGAAGTGCACCGACGTGCAGAAGGGCTTCGTTGGGAAGATCATCCCGTTCCTGCGTAAGAACCGCGTGGAGGAGTGGAAGCGGCTCCAAGCCAAGTACGACCCTCAAGGCGCTTGGGCCAAGGCTCACCCGGACGTCTAAAGCACTCGCCCACATCTCTGCGGGTGATCCACCCTCTCTAAGCCTTCTTCCTTTTTCTTTTCTTGCATTTTCTCTTGGCGTGTAGTGTCACTATGCGCTAAGATGGCCTAATTAAATAAAATTATTTTCTTGTACAGAAAGAAATATCTTTATTCTACAACCTTAAGTCAAGTACCAACTCCTCGATTAGTGAAAGTCCTGTAGGAGAAATAATTAAATTACCTTGGACGACTGATGTTAGATTATTTTCGAAAAACTCTGCTTTAGGGAAGTAGACGATGTGTTTGTGTGTAACTTCTACCGAAGGTTAGCGAGTAGTAAACTTAAGTTACCTGTGATGATTAAAAGTTGTTTCTAATAGTTCATAACGAGATAAGTAGTACGATCTTAAAGAACTGTTAACAATTGAACGATAAACACACTCATTGTTGAATTGGCGAAACTTTCGATGAATGTGAAAGCAATTAATATTTCAAATGCTAAATGCCATGAATTGGATTTGAGTAAGCCAAAAAGTATATAACTGTTAGTTTACATTATTTTCAGTAAACTACGAAATTGATGCATGAACCTGATCCTGATGTTTTGTATTATACAAATGAAGGTGTTAGTTCACATCCATTCATTTTGGTGCAACAGACCAACACTATGCAGCGAGATTAAGCATGCAAAACAAAAATTAAAACTGCATCTGAGATGAACAAATGTCACATTTTTTAAAATAAATTTCCTCAAACATTTTATCCAGCATGGTCTCCACATGAACCTTGCTGGAAAACATACGCTCTAAAGCAAGCTGGCACGACACATCATAAAATGGACTTCCAAGCAGTCTCCTGCCAAAATGCATCCTTTTATCTTCCATCATTTGTCTACACTCACACGCTATTTCCCCTACTTGTATCATCTGAGACACCAATTTCCTCACAGCTTTCCACTAACCACATTAATCGTAACTATATCAACAGCTCACTACAGAAAAGTCTCTTACAAAACATCTGCATTATTTTACAACACACTGACAGATAGCTTTTCTGGTGCATAACGGTTTCTACACAATCATAATAAAGCTGTAAACAGGCTGATTTTGATGTCCCTTTTAATCGTCTCCCAGAGATCTATTTTAAACAAATAAGATACCTTCCAAAAAAAGAAAAAATAGGAGTGGAGGAAATTATATACTGAATAGACCGCAGCTTTCCTTTATTAATAAAAAGCTATGAAATTTGCGTTGTTTGAAATGCACGGCTAGAATTAGAACGGGGAAGATGGCGTCATACGCATCTTCCCTAATTGGCGGGAAATAGAAGAGTAACATGACCGAACATTCTTGCTCAGAGAACGTGTTGCGTTACTATCGACGACATTACGATAAACAACAAATAAATCAGCAGATAAATCAATTGAAAATATCTAATGAGCTTTCTTATATACTAGCTGAACCAGTGCGATTACATCGCACAGGAAAAGAGCTGTAGAAAATTTACCGTAGAAAATACAGTACTTCCATGAATATTCACAAGTTGTATATTCACCATAATCTTTACACGTATATACATGGATATTGTGTTGGTCTATAACAGCAATACTTATTTTATCATAATGACTGAATTATTTAATGCCCTACCTGAAATTTTGATGCAAAGGGACATACATTTTTTTTTCGATTACTAATCATAATTGGGGTACGGAACGTTTGTAAGTTTTTGTCATTTTGAACTGGCAGGAAAACTATTGATATACATGTTGGTTAATGATTTTGATATGATAATAATACTATTGATAAAAGAGAGATCAGATATTTTATTTTGTTGTAAGCTGAATTATTTGTACTGTGATTAAAGTTCTGTAAGATGTTATCCGATGGTACTTAAAGGTAAGTATTATCAGTGCTTGATTTATAGAATTTTATCTCCAGGAAGATACCTCAAAAATAATTATTACTTTTATAGAAAGAGTTAGAATACTTAGAACGTAATTTAATAACCATCATACTTATTAACATAATAGTGGTAGCACTCTCTCCATAAGACTAAATGTGAGTTTTTTAATGATTGAATTACGTTAGTAAAATTGGTACAGTTAAGTGAAAAATTATTTAATTTTGAGTTTATGAAAGTAGGTCGAACTAAAAATTGAAGTTGCCAAGTGTTTCCTCTCCATTTTTTCTTTGTTTTTTCTAAATTTTTATCACTATGTTTCGGAGATTAAATGTACGTTCTTCGTCAGAAACAGTTAAAAATTGGTATGGCAATTGGCAACTTTTATTTTTATTATTTTAAAATATTCTAAATGTCACTGATATATGAATATATAAATGTAATGAATATACAAAAAGTATTGGAATTTTAATTTCATAATACAAATGTTACAAGCAATGTTATTTATTTTTCCTATTTTGTTTCTGAGGTACCGGAAGAGTGTTGCCAGAGGTACCGCTATTTCGACGTTCAATCCGCAATTTGCATCAAGCCATGCAGATGACTAAAAAATACGCATTTTTACAATTTATGCATGGTTTATGCTAGTTTTCTTGTCGTGGCCTGCAGCAAAGAGCCAGGGCACAGCTCCAATTTTTTCTCTTTCGAAAAGCGCCCTTTCAGAAAGTGACCCCCAGTGGCAAATAACAGGAATAATTTTCGACCGGGCCTAATTCTGCGTCGGGCCTAATTCTGTTAGACCCACGCGTGTTTTTCGTAAACACGGTGAAAGAAAGAGAAATGAGAGACAGAACATACTGGAAATTTTCCACTCGTATTTTCTTGTTCGAACGCCTTGACGGATTGGGCACGAGATTTTCACTGGGCACTTTACTTTAGCCTATCACCGACTAAATTCGGGAATTTTGGAGAATTTTCTGGAACTTCTGGGATTTTAGGAGGAAACAGGGGCTTTCGCGGACGCTTGCGCCAGCGCGCACTCACACTTAGAGAGAGAACAGAGAGAAGAGAGGAGAATACTTGCGGAGGTTGGAGGCCTCGAGGCCTTCAGGCGGCGTTTCTTTCTGAGCAGTAGCTGCACTCCCACCTCTGCGCGCAGCCACTTGGCTTAAGTTTGCAACTTCGGCTTAGAAAAGTTTCGAACGCGCAATATTATCGGTTCACGTGATTTTATGTGCGTGGCTTGACCTCATTTAGTGGACGAAGTTAAATCTACGCTTGTGAGTACGTTAGGTTTCTGAATACAATCACCGCGTACAACGAAATCTGCTGCCAGTATTGACATAATCAGCGGAAAGGACTTCGGGCCGTAGCGACCGCTTCCTACTCGTCAATACAGAGAAGCCTTGTTTGTTGGCGTCAACCGGCCAGCTGAGCAAGCTTTGCTCCCCGGCCGTCCGCCTCCGTCGGTGAGTGTCTCCAACCGCGTGGCCTTGGCGCCACAGCGATCTCCAGGGTCGCCCTTTGTGGGAAACCGAACAGCCGAGCGGGGCAATGAACTCCGCTGCTATTAGGTGATGAGTGCCGAAAGCTAGCTGTAAGCCCTCAACTGTCCCCCAGGAGCCAAAATAAAACGACCTATGGACTCAGACATTCAGTTCTCAATTTGTGGTTAAAAGGAAAGGGTTTAAAGAATATTGTAATTTTATGATAAGAATTTATTTATTTCGGTTTAATTCCGGGGAAAATTTTACGAGCTCGAGATAGGTCTTTTTATCATTATTGCATATTTTATGAGTCATTAAAACTTTATGTTGATCTCATTTTAACATTTCTATTTTATTTCAATCGAAACAACGCCCGCCTGTCACCCTCGTTTTCAGGCTACCTTTAAACCTTCTGAGCTAGTCGAAAGGTAAGACCGAAGCCGCAAAGGACCGACTAAGTGGCAATTGGCTTGCCGTCTGTGGGGCTCGATCTTGTATTTCATATCCCAAATAAGTGCCGCTAAAATTTCTCATTCTCAAATTAAAAATCTCTTTAAATTGTCATTGTGGGTCGAATTAAAACAGTTACATTATAATGATGAATGGAGGACGTTGTTATGACAATAACTTGTGTAGTCTGGTGAGAACGTAATTCCATACTGTATTTTTCTCATAAGTGCTATTGTTCTGTGTATTGTGGTGTGGTACTGTGTACGTTGTAACGTCGTGCGAGGGGCCAGATGGACACACATGTCGTAAGCCAGCGAGGGGCGGGGGCGGTCTTTGGCGGCAAGCGGAAGGCCACCAGAGGTGGGCCCCTTCTCAAGGGCCCGGGTGGGCGTGACTCGGAACGTGGGTGTCAACTGGCACAGAGGAATTGATGGGTGAGTCCGCCGCGGTGCAGCTGGACTCAAATTGCAAACAGGCCCACGTTTCGGATGAGAGGACGCCGCCGGCATGTGAGGTCTGTCACGTGACCCCTCGCTGAGCGGCGTGGAGAGCAACCAGCCGGGGGATTGGAGTTGGAACCGAATCGCCGGTGCGAAGGCACATTTCAGCCGCCAGGGGTTATCGCGAGCTTCGGCAGCGAGGTGTGGCGGTTGCCACGGGACAAAAGGCCAGAGCGGCGCCAAGCCGCTGGGGTTTGCGTGGGCTGGGGCGGGGATGCTCGAGGTGCAGTGCTGGAGTGCAGCGCGTTTCCGAGGAGTATGTATATAGGGTAATCAAACTTGTAAATAAAACTATATAAAACAACTCCGTTGTCTGTGTGTTACTCGCACCCGACGACGCCACAAACGTTATCAAGAAACTTGAAATCGCGAAAAAACGTCAAAATACTCGATGAATCTGGTATTGACGTCGCGGGTGACGATAGTTCCAGGACCAGTCGACGCCGGAAGCGAGGATGATGAGGTCCTGCGGATGTTAAAGCAAATGTCAGATGAGAAACCTTGAAAAATTATCAAGATATGGCGCGCAAAAACTTTGCAGAATTGTCAGAAGCAGCACGCGAAGTAATGAAGAAAAATAGCCGAAAACTTTCAAAATTTTCAAAAGAGGCCCGCGGAACATTGCAATTATCAGAAGTACGCGAAAAAGGGTAGTATCGCTGAAATAGATGGAAAGTGAGGGG